GCCGCCCCTGGTTTTCTACTATTTAAAACACTCGCACAAGAGTGCTTTATCGGATATAAAACACGAGAGCGCAGTTCGAGTGTTTTATATCTGATAAAGCACGGACTTCGAGTGTTTAAAATAGCTTAAAAAACGACGCATCTGATGAATTCATTGCCGAGGTAATTTTAAAAATAAACGTTGTCTAAGCCGAGAAAATCAAAGCTAAAGTTTATGTAAATCAACATGATTTTTTATCACATATGAAACCACCCACACGGTAGTGATTTTTGTCTTTTCCTCGTGAATTATTAATGAGTTTTCAAACTATTGTTTAATGTATAGTTTTGTACATGTAACGTTTTAATTTTTTTTAGATTGTTCCTTGAGATGATTTTAGATTATTTTAGATCTGCATTTTAGATCATTTTATAGGTCGGTTTATGTCGTTCCTCATCGTTGATGGTTTTCTATGCAATCAGTGGCATAGCCAGGGTTTAGAAAGTGAGGGGGGCCGGGACAAGTTCAACGCCAAAGGCGCGAAAGATGTAAGGAGGTCTGGAGTTGTCCCCCCCCGGGAAAATTTTGAAATTCAGAGCCTATGAAACCCCATTTCGTGCATTTTGAGGTATGATTTTACAAAATTCAGAAGATTATAACATCATAAAATACACCAAAAATATTACATTTTTAGACTTTGAACTATTTCATTTTAAAGTGAGATTTTACTGGATTCAGGGTATTATAACATGATATAAAATACACGAAAAATACTAAAATAGTACATTTTACGAGTTTAAACTATATGCAATTTTCTTAATTTTCTTATTTACAATGGTAGCTAGCCGCCTCCAAAACAATATGCTATGCTAGTTAATAAAAAATGTCATCGCTAGACGCTTCAATTATTGCACCTATCACTTCCTGTTATGTATATATATATATCACTTAACACATGCACGCTTGTAATTAATTCATTCCGCTTTACCGTCGAAGACTACAGTTAGGTAGTCGAAAGCTCGTTTTAAATAAAATTTTAGTCAGAGAAAGTTTATTTTGAATTATTTCTGTTTTTAGCTAAAAATCGGATCAGTGTTACCACCCCCCTCTCAGTTTCTCAATGGATTTAAACATATCTCGAAGGTGGTTCTGAAGGAGAGCAGAGAGGGGGGGGGTTCGTTCCCCCATTCCCCCCGTGGCTTCGCCACTGTATGCTATAAAATCTCATATTTCAAAAGGAAAAGCATTTTTTCTTAAGTGAATTGTTTTTTTATCCAGGTTTAATTTCAATAAGATGACTGGTGTTGGTTTTCTCATATGTGGTCTGAGTTTTGTTTTATTTCCTTGTCAAGGTATAGGTTGTGATATTCTCATTTTCTGCAGAATTATATTTTAACGCGTTTCTATATTTCACTCACTCAATCGATCACATCCTGGAAAAGAAATAAGTTGTGAAAACACTGATTCACTCACACATAATTTTTTTCATCATTTTCAGCTGTTGAAGAAATTGGGACCAAGTATATTTTTTTACCTGGATCAACTGCGAATATAACGTGGTCATTTACTAATAATATATCTACAGTCCTTTCTCGGGCTTGGTTTTTCACAAGTAGTGATGGTTCATTCAATGCGAAACGACTTGCGATAATAACTAATGACGAGGAGCCTCAAATAGATGAAAGTGGCTTATCTGGGGTTACCGTAGTAAAGCCAGCAACCTTGATATTAAAAAATGTTAATCAAAGTTATGATGGGACATACGAGTTTTTTCTTTTAGCATTACGTAACAGTGGTACATTTGATGTTCGCGTCTTTATTGCAAGTAAGTTTTGACTTTTGATAAAGAAAAACCTCAAGTTTTTTCTAACATTTTGGTACATAACCTTTTTAGGCTTGTATGGCCATGGCATGGCCAAGTAATTGAAAGAAATCTACAAATGTTTACTAAAATAATTTTAATTTTCAAAATATTGTATCTGCTGAGCAACTTTGCAATGTTGTGTCGTGTAGTGTATCCAGCTTAACTAAAAATTGGTGAGCAGGGCATACATGCATGTGGCGAGCCATTTTGGCTTATTGTCCATTGTTATATACTGGGTGTCCCAAAATAAACTGCAGACACTGTTTGATTTCATGTAGTAAAATATCAATTGAACTTAAATTTTGACATATATAGCACTTGAATTTACATTGCAATATTGACGTTTGAACATTGAATACAAATATTTATTATGTAACAAGTAG